ATTTGTTGTCATCTATTTCATCATTGTCTTCGTTGTTGGAAATTGTGAGTTTGTTCATTGCATGCGAAGGCAGTTTTCGTTTTACTGAACTCTCATTGACTAATTTATTCGCATGCCCACTTTTTTATTAATAATGAGCGACTGCTGAAGGTCCACTATGCTGTTGAGTTGTTTCTGTTGGTGTCTCAGAGTGTTACTTCTGCTTCAATTGGCTGAATGCTTTATGCAGTGAAGTGGCTTATTACAGCTGAATACGATGAGGTGGTTGACTAGTGTGTGTGTGTGTGTGTGTATGTGTGTGTCTTTCAAATGTGCATGTGAGTGAGGATACGAAGACATTTTGCATGGGTGTGTGTTAGTTTGTGAATGAGCGCAGTGAACTCTTTTTATGAAATCTAATAAAAATTGATAAACTCGGCTAGTCATGAGGGATAGGGGGTTTGGTGGGGGGGGGGGGGGGGCGTATGGACATGAAAGCGCGCAATCAAGGTGTTTTCATGAGGAAAGTGACAGAAGAATTATTATTGGAAAAAGAGATATGTTGAGTCGTCTTTCTGACCATGATTTTCTTCTTGTGGCCACCGTCCTTTCCATCTACTCCAAGTCGAAAACACAATGTTCCCTTGTCGTTAGGCGATGGAGGTGACAGCTTCCTCACCTTATTCTCTTTTGTCCTACAAAGTCCTCTTGTAAAATAGACGAAATGTGTGGATGGTTCAGTAAAGAAAGGGTTGATTTAGAACTTTGATAGACTGTTATGCTTCCAGTCCTATTCACTAAAGTTGCTTGTTAATGAAGATTAGATCCAAGATGCCTTGAAGTAGAAACCTTGAGGACTATTAATGACAAATTTACCTGAAAGTCTTGATCAGCCATGTCAATCTCCTCTTTCGGATTTGCTTTGGATTAATAGTTATTGATTTCCTATTAATTGGGTGTGGTAGCCAATAGGGGAAATTTTCCTGTACTATATGCTTTATTTTATATGCAGTCTTGTTGTGACTCACACAGGGCTTGTAAAAAGTGTCGTGAAAAGAAGCTCTAGTTTCATGTCACCTCCCCCTTTTTAAACATTCGATGTTCCTTCTTGCATAGACATCCTGTTGAACGTCTTCTTGGCTATCGCTGTCGACAACTTGAGCGACGAAGATGATGATGACGAAGAGAACGAAATGGACGACGATGATGACGACCGTCTGAAGGCTAAAAGGCTCGCCGAGGCGTAAGTTCTCGTCCGCATCGATTAATCAATATGTGGAAAATCGAGAAAATTTCTGTTGTAACGTACACTTCATGTCATTGTTTAGTGCTGCCTATGCTAAGGGTCCACTAGACAGTAAGTTGAAACACGTTTGGCGCATCCTATTGAGCATAGTGCATGAATGAAGGGAACACGCTGTTCCCCTCCCCCTCCCTATAAGTGACCTATTGTTTTGCACTTAAGCTTACATGGAAATGAATTACGAGGAGATTTTGCCGGATGAGGAGGAACAGGACGAAGCAACTTTGGCCGCCAAGTTGGAGCAATCGACAATTAACACTTCCAATCCACAAACAATCCCACCTCACTCGGCTTTCTACATCTTTGATCCAACTAATAAGTAAATTTTGCAGTTCTTCTTTGCCTTTTAACTATTTTATTAGATTCCGAGTCTTCTGCCACAATATCGTCTCCTCGCCAATCTTCACAAATCTCATTCTCGGCTGCATTCTGATCAGTTCAACGCTGTTGTGCGCTGAGGATCCACTGCATACGTACTCCTTGACTAACAGGGTGAGTTTAAACAGAATCTGAACCAAAGAAAGCAAATTTTCAATTATTTATTCTTTAAATTTTTATTTTTTAGATTCTTAATTACTTCGATTACTTCTTCACAAGCGTTTTCACTATTGAAATCACCCTCAAGGTAAACCTATTAAAAATAATGCTACTTACCATTATTTAAGTAGCATTGGTAATGTGTTGTATAATTTGTAGATGATTGCAGATGGCTTCATCGTCCACGAGGGAGCATTTCTGCGAAGTATGTTCAACCTCTTGGATTTGGTTGTCGTCTGTATCGCTTTGATCTCATTCATGTTGGAGTAAGTTTTTCTTGTGACTTAAATACTTACGGATAAGCATATTTTTTTAAACCCTTTTGTTTCTCAATTAAGGAACGGAGCAATTTCAGCGGTCAAGATTCTTCGAGTGCTGCGTGTGCTTCGGCCACTTCGTGCTATTAACAGAGCCAAGGGATTGAAGGTTCGTTTATTCTTCACTAACCAGCTCCTCATTCTCTCAATTTTCTCTGTGTTTTTCGTTTCAATAATTGAGGCTTAAAGTCGATCCATTAAGGTCAAAATGTTTTTTTTATTATATTCCGTTTTTTTTCAACTTTAAGTATAAAGGTAACCTCAACGCCAACCAATCAGAGAGGAAGAGAGTGCGAGAGACAGACAGTGGAATTTTCTTCAGTAGCTGACGTTTCTACTCTACACCTTTGCTAAAACAGATACCCATTTAGTGATACCATTTTACTTTTCGTTATGGAGTCTTCCAAGTGAGTAATTCGAATTTGGTATTCCCAGTGTGGTTGGTCTCTCTGTCTGTTAGGTATTTATCGATAGCAATTGAATACGTTTCAGCAAATTTGACAGACGAGTGTGTTAAACACTCGGTTCCCTAAATACACTCATGCAGCCAACACATCGACACTTTACAGACTCATAACGTCAAATGTCCTCGAGTATTGAAGGCTCACAGAGGCAGATATGCCAGCTAAATAGGTGGAGCAGTGTGGATGCGAATAAAGTAGGAAGGGTGGTTTAATTAGGGGTTTAGTAAAGGTAACCTTCTGGACAAGACTAAGATCTCCAGTACTTAACTTTTTGAAGTATTTTAACGTTAGCTCTAAAGACTAGACGCAGGGGTTTGTGCTTCATTTACTTTAATATTTTTTGCTTTTTTTCAACAAACACAAGCATCTATGAGATCATGTACTTCATTCTTCTCATTTATTGATTGACGGTGGGAAAGCGCGCTTCGAGAGATCTAGTGGATGCATCAACTCAACTCAACTATAAATAAACTATGCACTTATTCTTTTTTCAGAACGTTGTGCAATGCGTTGTGACCGCCTTGAAGAGCATCGGAAACATTCTTCTTGTCACGATTCTCATTGAATTTGTCTTTGCTGTCATTGGTGTCCAATTATTCAAGGGCAAATACGTCCAATGCAATGACCCCTCGAAGCTTACTGAGGAGTCGTGTGTGTAAGTCCCCCCATGCCTCTATTGGTGGGGAGAGAGGGAGGAGGAGGGAGGAGTTGGGGGGGGGGGGGGGGGGGGGGGNGGGTGGGGGGGGGGGGGGAGGGACGGGGCTCGAAGTAATGTGTGATTGGCTCATTGACTTTTGTGTCCTATTTTTAGAGGATCTTTCATTGAGTATCAAAATGGGCGTCCAGCAAATGTCGTGCAACGAGTGTGGATTCAAAATGAGCTGAATTTTGACAACGTCGCAAATGCTATGCTAACACTCTTCGTTGTTCTAACTTTCGAGGGCTGGCCACCGTAAGTCTCTTCATGACGCTTTATTTGTGCATATCATGAAAAATGGTTTTGTTTCAATCTACCCCACTCGACCAGTGTTTATCTTTCCTTGATCAACCTGTCCAATCGCTAAGGGCAACGAAATTCGCGGTTTTTTGGTATTGTGATCAGCAGTAGGATTTACTAGAGGGATTCTTAAAGACTAGAAAAAAATTCAATATAAATGTACAAACGTGTCCATAATCGCATGGAAGTAAAATAATAAGTAAGCTGGACATTTTAAATTAATGCTAAATGGCTTATTGCCAAGCGCAAGAATAAAGCTACTCACGTGACGGTCGCAAAACGATTCGTTCTGCAATTAATTCCATCTGACTAAACCATGATATTTCATGTTGGAATCTGACATAATTAATTACTGCCCTAGAATTCTCTACTATGGTATTGATTCCAACGAAGAAGACCGGGGTCGCCTTCATGATCACCGCAAGCACATCGCGTTGTACTTCATTTTATACCTCATCGTTGCATCCTTCTTCATGGTGAACATCTTCGTCGGTTTCATTATCGTCACGTTCCAGCGTGAAGGCGAACGGGAGTACAAGAACTGCGAACTTAACAAGAATCAGGTTTATAATCCTACTTAAATTTTATTCAGTAGAAGCGGTTGATCTAATTAAATATTTTTTGCTTTTCAGAGGAAGTGTATTGAATATGCGCTTAAAGCTCGTCCACGACGGCGATACATTCCAAAAGGCCATCTGCAGTATAAGATCTGGTCAATGGTAGTATCAAAGAAGATGGAAATGACAATTTTCTTCTTTATTTTCATGAATACGGTGACATTGGCTTGCAAGGTATATTCATTCTGACTTCCCTAACTCCCAATCTCCCACTTAAATCATCAATTTTACCCTCCTATCTAGCATGATGGTATGAGTGCAACCTTCAGTAGCGTGTTAGACGCCTTCAATTACTTCTTTACAGCTGTATTCACCGTTGAATTCATTTTAAAATTATCGGCTTTCGGCTTCAGAGTAAGTTTTCAATAAAAGTATCATTTCTACCAAAATTTTTTGCATAATCCAATTCATAACTATGCGTATTCGAGCAATGTTATTGAAAATCAGGTCTCTCATCGAAGTGAGCTAATTGTCTATTGGCTTATTTTCAGCACTACTTTGGAGATCTCTGGAATGTTATCGATTTTCTCATCGTCCTCGGAAGCTACATTGATATCATCGTTAGTAAAGTAAGTAACATGCGGATTCTCTATTCTGTTAAGAGTTTTAATATTTTTCTTTGATTTTTGACGATTTTAAATTTGGAAAAACAAAGAAAAAGCCTTTTTACATGCCATACCTATCATTTTGTTTCGTTTTTTGCTTAATTGAATGGAATGGAATGTGCTGTTCATTTATTCACTATGGTAGTGTGTTGTGTTTTTTTCGATGCCTCCTGCCCATCTGAGCCCGTTTGTGATTTTCCTCGTGGAGTAAGCAGATAAGAAAATTGGGGGGATGAGGGGGGGGGGGGTTAGGGTTAGGGTTAGGGTTTGGAAATCGAGTCTTCACATTAAAAATCTCACTAAATTGTCATCCTACGTGGTTATTTATCCCCTTTTTGGCATGCGATTAGATGCATGCCATTGTCGCGTCCAAGAAATGGTGACTAAAAGTCATTATGATTTATTAATCGATCCAACCCCCTCCCCTCCTACTTAGGCGTTAATACAGTTGAATTTTTTCTTGATCTTTGCGCCTTTCCTTGAAATTAAGGTTTATTTCACTTTTTTTTATAGACAGGCAAAATACTAGAGAAATATTTTTGTGCGTTTTCCTATCAAAATTCGGTCCTAAACTCCGGCTTTAATAACAAATTACCTAGAGTTTCAATATTAATAGTAATAGTAAGCAGTTGTAATTATCGCTTTCCTGTTGTGAATTTGTTCGATTTAATTTTATCAATTTCCCAAGTGAATACGACGTGTATCGAATTTCTTGGAATTTATGCTGAAGTTGGTTTAATAATTATGAGGGGAATTCCCAACTGTCGGGAATGGGAGGACTTCATTCAACCCCGCCGTCTTCTTCGTCTGAAAGCATGAAGATAAAGAAATCAAAAAAGATGGGACATTTTTAATAAACTGAAACACCTCAGACCACAGTCGGCAGAAGTGTGAAGATCCACAGCTCAAACGGCAGTTCTTGTGCTAGGAAAATAAATTAATCTTTTTTCTTGGCAATGCCATATGATAAATTTTTTTGGCTGTCTGTTTAAGCAATAATTACAGCAATAATTGCTGTTGTGATGGGTTCATATGTCCAGAGGCGAAAATGGAGATTCAATAATTGATAACCCAGTGTCGGGATTGAATAATGATTACACTGAAAATATTTATTTTGAGGGAAATTTTCAAAAAGAGGTAAGAATTCTTATTTCCGTGGCTTAAATCTCAAAAGTTATTTATACCAAATGGCCGGCTTTTTGATAGTTAACATTAGCCCTTTAGTTGACTTCAGGCTTCACAGAGGGGAGGAGGAACATCAAAGTGACAAAAAGTTGAGAGGGGGGGGGTGGGGGAAACAGAAGAGTTTCAAAGATGTAAAAGAGGCAGACACAAAGGTAGAAAAAGGTGAGATGAGTACTGTGAAGTAGTTGAATTTGACATACAGTGTTGTGATGGTAGTTCGAAGTGAGAAGTCAACTGCCGGTAAATAGACTTTTTTGCCGTATGAAAGTGATAAGTCAACTGCCGGTTAATAGACTTTTTTGCCGTATGAGTGGGTTGCCCAGGGTGCACCGCGTGGAGGTAAGTCTATCGCAACAACTGCCGGTTAATAGACTTTTTTGCCGTATGAGTATACGGTGCCCAGGGTGCACCACGTGGAGGTAAGTCTAAATATACATTGCCCAGGGTGCACCACGGAGGTAAGTCTATTGCACACCCCATGATACCTATCATAACGCCTGCCATTTGAAAGTACGTTGTCCAGGGTGCACCACGTGGAGGTAAGTCTATCGTATTCTTAAGAATAATTGTTTAGAAAACCAGCAAGGGTTGAAAGTTGCCCAGGGTGCACCACGTGGAGGTAAGTCTATCGCACGCTGTCCAGGGTGCACCACGTGGAGGTAAGTCTATCGCACACACCCCTCCGCTTCCAAATAAGATGTTGATAGTGAAGGCATATTTCCAGGGTGCACCACGTGGAGGTAAGTCTATCGCACACCCACTTGGCTCTCCCCTCAAATTTCAACCCTACACGGATGGGCTAAATCTCAAAAGTCTTATGCGCTTTCCGATACACTTGAATTTCAACCCCAAATTGGTCTATTTCTATGGAGCCTCCTTTTTACAATCTCTCTTTGTTTGGAACCACAGCGCATGATATTGCGTTCGCTTCCTACAGTAACTCGCCTACTCGTTAGATTAATTGCACTATGCAAGAGCTGATTAAAATTTGCCTATTCGGCGTTGGCATAGTTTGGAGTTGAATGAATCATCCCATCGGACAAAACGCGCATCTAATGGGAGAGAGGAAAGATGTAAGCGGCAGTGAGTTTGGTGCTTCTCACTTCTTCTTCTTTTGTTTTGGGCGTGTTCACATTGGTCTTCCATCCACACCTTTTCTTCTCCTTCTATTACCCAATTTATCCCCCTTAGTTCAAAGCAATAGCACTTTGTCACTCCCAGGTTGGAGATGGAGAGGGAAGGGGGAGGAGGGCGGGGGTTGATAAACGAAATTGGTATGAAATGTGTGTGTGTGTGTGTGTGTGTGCGTGTGGAAGCTGTCAATTGTAGCCTGCTGAACCATTACTTAAGCCGAAGGGCGAGATAGAGGGTGGGTGGGGGGTGTGTGTGTGCGCGCGTATGCACGAACGGTGTGTTTATTCTCCTGTTTAAGGGGCAGCTGACGAGGTTTCATATCAATAGTTAATTTCTGGACTTGAGAAAAGATGTTTTGTGCTTCGCGGATGATTAACCAACACCAGCGCTGTCTCAACTTTGATTCACAATATTATGCAAATGACTTGAGTTGAGTCATTTGAGTACAACTTTGCAGCGCACTGGAGAAGCGATATTGGCATACTTCACGTACTTTGCAGGCCAGCGACACAACAATAGTATAATAATAATCACACCAAGTATGGTTTGAAAAAGGTTAAGGAGGCGATAAGTTTATCAAGAATAACACTTTGATATGTTGAAATTTATTTCAAATGGCAGGCGTTTTGACAGCTAGCATAAGTCATTTAGCTGATTTCGGGCTTCACAGAGGGAAGGCTCATC